ATTTATGGATGGGGAATAGGAGCAAATAAATTTTCTAATAATTTAAAGGTCTCACAGCTTTTAAGCTTTGGAATTTCACTTCTAATCATCATCTCCAAAACCCAACTCTTATTAAAACCATGCTAGCACTGGTTTCTCTCTGGGAGAATTTTAAAATTCTGTAGTTAGGGTGGGCAAAGTGGCTCGTGCCTATAATCCCAACACTTTGAGAGACTGAGATGGGTGGGTGAATCCCTTGAGTCCTGAAGTTTGAGACCAGCCTGGGCAACAAAGAAAAACCTTATCTCTATTAAAAATACAAAAAATAAGATGGACATGGTGGTACGCACTTGTAGTCTCAGCTATCCAGGAGGCTGAGGTGTGAGAATCACCGGAGCCTGGGAGGTCAAGGCTGCAGTGAGTCAAGATCATGCCATTGCACTCCAGCTTGGGCAACCAGAGTGAGTCCCTGTTACAGAAAAAAAAAAAAAAAAAAAAAATCTGTACTTAGGCTTTCAGAACAGGCTATATGTGATGTATGTCAAAAACACAGGTGTAATTGATTGAGATAAAAACATTACGATTTTAAAGATTCATACTGTCAAGCCCAGATTTGGCCACTAGGAATTTCCAAGCTCACCAGTGAAACTGCTGATGAATGGTTATTTTCCAGTGAGCCTTTTATTCTTTCTAAAATGCTTACAAAATACTAGTTGTGACTTGTAGGCTATAGGGGCTATAATATATCAAGACAATCCTTATCCTCATAAAGCTTACAGTTAAGTGAGAGATAGAGATTAATTATAACAGTGTGAAGAGCAGTAAAGAAAAAGCACAGAGTTACAGATGTGTATAATAGGGCCAGGACTGCAGGAGGAAGGTCGGGAAGACAGTTTGGCATGAGGTCGTCTAGGAAAAGACTTACTTGAGAAAGAGCCAAGGTGTGGGGTCTGGCTGCTTAGCAATGGCCACAATACCTAACGTTTACTATTTTTACATGAAGTAACTAATTCAGCTCTGTGAGGAAGGTACTACTGCCATCTGGATTTTACAGATAAGTACGCAGAGGTACGGAAAAGTTAAACTCTTCACACAGCTTTGGCTTTAAACCTGTGTAATCTTCAAGGCCTCCCCACTTAACCACAATGCCACAGCTGCATCTGTATTAGGTGCTAAGTAAATATCTGTTAATGAAAGTATCGTGAGCTAGCTGGAAAATGGATGGATGAAGAAGTGACACGTAAGCTAAGAACACCTTTCAGGCGTCACATGCAAAGAATGATGGAGCAAAGAAGAAAAAAATAGAAAATGGGATAAACCTTTTTCTACTAAGGGGTAATAACCATATGTATTATTCATCTTCAGGCTGTGAAGGCGGCTTCCCATACCTCATTGCAGGAAAGTATGCCCAAGATTTTGGGGTAGTGGAAGAGGCTTGCTTCCCCTACACAGGCACTGATTCTCCATGCAAAATGAAGGAAGACTGCTTTCGTTATTACTCCTCTGAGTATCACTATGTGGGAGGTTTCTATGGAGGCTGCAACGAAGCCCTGATGAAGCTTGAGTTGGTCCATCATGGGCCCATGGCAGTTGCTTTTGAAGTCTATGATGACTTCCTCCACTACCGCAAGGGGATCTACCACCATACTGGTCTAAGAGACCCTTTCAACCCCTTTGAGCTGACTAATCATGCTGTTCTGCTTGTGGGCTATGGCACAGACTCAGCCTCTGGGATACATTACTGGATTGTTAAAAATAGCTGGGGCACCAGCTGGGGTGAGGATGGCTACTTCCGGATCCGCAGAGGAACTGATGAATGTGCAATTGAGAGCATAGCAGTGGCAGCCACACCAATTCCTAAATTGTAGAGTATGCCTTCCAGTATTTCATCATGATCAGCATCAGTCGTAAAAGGGAATTGATACATTCACATACTGAAGACTTTCAGCAGTAATTTCAGAAGCTTGCAAATAGATTTATATGAAGATTTTTGTCTTTAGAATGAAAATTGCCCTTATTTTTAATATGCCTTTCAATCAACCACTGGCCACTTTTTTCTAATATTCAATTAAGTGGGAATTTTCTGGAAGATGGTGAGCTATGAAGTAATAGAGTTTGCTTAATCATTTGTAATTCAAACAGATACTATATATTTTTAAAATCAACATGAAACAAAGACTTATTTTTAAATTGTACCATCACGAGAAAATATGGCAATGCTTATCAAAACTTTTAAAATAAATGCTCAAGTTTACAATAAAATTTTAAAAATAACTGCATTATTGAGTTTATATTTACTTCAGAAATTTTTTATCATTGACTCAGTAAGACTCACTTATGTTACCTATGTGAGCACTTTTTAAAAAAGGAATAGTATTTGAAGATATTTCAATTAAAAACAAAACTACAAACCATTATGATAGGGAATATACTAAGATAATGCCTAGTGAATCCTAAAATTATCCTTGGATATTTGATGAGCCAGAGACCTCAGAGAAAAGAAATAAGAGTTTTGATAAAATCTGGATTTTCTATAGTGTGTTTCTTGTATTTGGGAGTATTGGTTAATCTTCAGTAGGTGAGCAATAATAGCTTAATGAGTAAAATATTAGCAGTTTGGATTTAAGTAGATTTTTGGAATCTCCCAGAGATATTTCACAGTCGATATGAAACCTCTATACTAAGTAACAGGTGTCTTCTATTAGAAATTGTATGACAGGAGAATAAGGCAGTCAGAGCTCTGAAACATAAACAAGGACCACATCCTTTTGAGCTGGAAAGGACCATAAAGCTCATGTACCTTAAACTCTTTGCACAGATAAAGACTCAGAAAGAGGACAAGTGATGTGTCTGAGGTCACACAGCTGGCAAGTGATGGAGTCATGCTTACAACCTAGATCTTCGAAATCCAGTTCTCCTTGAGCACTGAGTCTCAGCATTTCTCACCAGAGTATCTACAGTCATCAGGGATACTAGCTGCATACTTGGAAATTTCACCTTAGCATTTTGAATTTCAAAGATTTGTGTGAAACCCATGTATTTTTTCCATTGTAATTAACTACAATGATGTTTTTGCCCTCCTTGAACTGCAGTAGGGCAACAGGAGTATGCACCATTTAAAGTTTGGCTTCTTGGGTCTCCTGGCCTGCTGCCACATACCTTTAATCTTTTCGCCACATGGTGACACAGAAACAGACACTGGAAGGCATAGCCAGGGTGGGAATCATTGGAAGGCCTCCAAGGAGACGAGATACATTTTCTTTTTATTGTTACTGATTGAATGCAATTATCGTCCTATTTGGTGCCCAGCCTCACTGCTATGTGAACATACAAACTTTTGAAATCAGGAATCATATTTTTTCACTAAAATTCATAACGATACTATCTCTCAGTTAAAAAACACAATTCTGTTTAACATGAATTCTCTGGTTTTCCAGCTGGACAGCAGTTGGCTGACACAGAGAACAACTCATCATGATTTAGAGTGCCTGTGATTTTGCACAATTTTATGAGGGCCCTGACTGGCTCTTAAGTACATTTATTGCTGGTATCATTCATTAAATGCTTTAGGAAATATTTAATGGCTAAATACTGGTGTGAACCAAACTGGCATGGGAAGTCAGATCATATAACATGTTTGGTTGAGGACAAGCAATGGTTTGAAGAGGCCCTAAGTTTTCAGAGATTATGAGAGGGAATGCTCAGAATAAGAACTTAAGTTAGACTACATTTCAACTTGGATTTATCTGCTGTCAATGTCTGCTTTTCTTGTTTCTCTAAGACAGAAAGATCATTTATATCATCCATGTTGCAGATTTCATCAAATACAGTGACTAAACGCAACATTAGGGTTCTGTAAACCATGTAATTAGATTATTAAGCTGTACAAAAAGCAGTTGGTGTCAGTATCTAGAACTTGTTATATCACTGCTAATAGAACACATGCTCAGAGTCTTTTGACAAATGGAGCTCTAGAAAAAAAAATGAGATGGGAACTCTGGCTGACCTCCCCAAAGACATTCCCAGATAATCTACAAGGATAATATACATAGATGATGCCACAGGTCACGAAGAAGAAATATATTTAGCTGGGCAGTCTAACAGAAGCATAATATTGGCTCTGGAGCCTTAGTACCTGGGTAAGAGTTCTGGCTCTGTATCTTATTAGCTATGAAACCTTAGGCAGTTTTCTTATCCTACCTGTGCCTTCATTTTTTTTTTTTTCTGTAAAAATGGAGACAATGGCATAGATATCTCTCACTGTCTGAATTACTGACTTCTCTTTTTCTTTTTTTCTGAGTCATGTTCACTGCAGCCTCAACTTCCTGGGCTCAAGCCGTCCTCTCACCTCAGCCTCCTGAATACTTGGGACCACAGGCACATGCCACCATACCCAGCTAATGAATTTGTCCTTTCTAAACCATTGCTATTGCAACAAGGGAACAAAATTTATTTGCATTTGCATTTTTAACAGCATTACTTGCTATCTAAGCTCAGGCCTTTCATCATTCCAAATGGAGATGCTACAGATAATTAAAGACCATGCAGTTTCCCTGTCTATACACACTTGCTCACAGAACTCAGGAACTGGAAATATTTGGATAGTAAGGAATATGCATACATACTTAAGAGTTCCCTGAGGGTTAAATGCTTTCTCATATATATGCAAAGTATGTAGAACAGTGCTTGTCATGTAGTAAGGAGTAAATAAATATTAGCATTATGTTTTTCTGAACTCGCATTGTAAAATAATATTTTGCTATGAGGAAGCAGCTAAGATGTATTCTATAAATAAATAAGCTCTGCTACGAAAGGATAGAGAAGGGCTTCTGAGGGTTACTATTTTTTTTTTTGCCCATAATCAAAACTTTATTGAAAAACTGACACAAAATAGGAATTCACTTTTGTCTACCTTACAAAACCAAATACAATTACATTATCTTGGTAGATTAATTAGAATTATGGAACTTATGATAAGGCTTTCTGTGAGATAACACAGATTCAGGAAGCTGTTTGGATCATTAGCATTGCTTTCTTCTGAATGAACACCCTTCTTTGAGTCTGGCCTTTCCTCCTGTAGGCTGGTAAAGCACTGTTGAACAACCTACACAAAGAACCGCTATCTGAGCATGGCTGAAAACCATGGTGATCTGGTGGAAACCTGGACATTTTACATACATAAAGTAAGAATTTGGACTTTGCACTAGGCGTTTCTTCTTATGTTTTTTCTTTTCCTCTTCCAAGGATGGATGTAGTAAATCTCTAGCCAAAGGCATGTTGATCCTCTCACAAGTCCAGCCCTTCCAGACCTCTCAGCCGACACTGCTAACCTGATTTTTTTTTTTTTAAAGAGAGAAAAAAACCTACAGAGGAAGACTAGCTCAGGGATACCCACAGAGAAAAGCAAAAAGCTTTATGAATTAGGGATTAATTTTATTTTTTTACTATGAAATTTTTACATATAAAATTTTTTACTATAAAATTTTTACTAAAAATTTTTAACAGGTTTACATCACATGAATGCTGGAAGGTTGTCTAGTTCACCTCTGTTGCTAATAATGGGCCTTGAGAGGTAAAGTAACATGCCTGAGCTTCCAGCTAATAAGGATAAATCTATGCCCCAATATGTCCAGAACTTTCTACTATACTTGCTGCCTTCCAATTAAGAAAAATGGCTAAATAATGTTTCCATTCTTTTTAAAAGTTGTGAAATCAATAAGCTTACCTTGTTCTTTAAAATCATTTCCAAGATTTGTGCCACGTCCCAGAAATCCTGTTCCCATTTCTTTGGGGCAAGTACTCCTGAGCACGAATCCATGTGTGGTGGTTTGGAAGGTTTAATATAACAGTTTTCTAAATATAGTGATGTTAATATATTTATATCTCTTAACTCTAATTAAGGTTTCCTTTTGGTTTAAAGCTAAGTAGAAACTTTGTGACTAAGTTTGGGGAGCTTTGGATATATCAGAATCTTCTCTGATGGGAAGCACATGGTCCTAAAATTGTGTATTGGTATTGGATCAGTTTCTGGGTCCAGTGAACTATTAACTGTAAAGTATTGACCTCATTGAATTTTAGTTCCAACCAAAAGTTTTTAGTGCAGATTTGCGTGAAATTGCCTGGGATGTAAAATAATTAAAACCTCAGCAGACTTTCTGGTCATGTCATACTGTGCCCTCCTAGTGATAGCAAACTAGAATTGCAGGAGATAAACTAAGGTGGAAAATGCAATACATGCCTTTTGTGTGTGTGTTTTACTTTTCAGAAGTCCATTTTTTAATATCCCTTTTCTTTAAATCTCTTTTAAGAGTTAGTAGAAGAAATTTAACCTCTTCTTTTGCAACTTGGGGGATGTGATGCTGACGTAATCCTTTGATTTGGAACTTTAGGTTCTAAAAGACCGTTCGTCTTCTTGAAATTCAAGTCTGTAGGTGGTTAAATGGGGAAAGAACGTAATACATTTCAGACTTCCCAAGCTGAGAAAAAAAATAGCAGCCTTCTTTCTTCCTCTAATGCAAAAGGTCTTAAAAAGATGGAAATCCTAGCAGTCAATTGAGAGAAATGTGTTAGAGAAATAGCTTTTCCCTGAGGAAATGAGGGAAATGCCATAAAGCTAAGGGTTGTACATTAAAGTAATCATTGAGATGATTTTTTTTTTTCCTGTAATGTATTTTCTGGACCTTTAAAAGTATTAGATAGTTTCAGTGTAGATTAAGATAAATGACAGAAAATAAGTGCTTTTAGTATTAGATTTTTGTAACTCCATTCTCCCTTTTTTTTGGGTGTTTCTGAAGAACTAAGTCTGCTTTTCTTTTAGATCAACTATTTCTATGCCACTATAAGAAATGAGCACTATTCCCAAGAGATAGTAGATGCAATCCTAGTTTGGGAGGCTAAAATTCAGTCGTGTGAAAAGGATAAGCCTATGGAAAGAAAGTAAACAAAATAGCATTGTTCCACTAGAGAACCCAGAAATAAATTCATATATTTTCAGCAAACTCACAAAGGTGCCAAGAGCATACACTAGAAAAAGGACACTTCTTCAATAAATGGTGCTGGGGAAACTGGATATCTATGTGGAAGAGAATAAAACTAGATTCTTACGACTCACCATATACAAAAATCAACTCAAAATGAATTAAGGGCCTAAATTAAGACTTTAAACTACAAATACTAGAAGAAAACATAGGAAATGCTCGAGAACTTTAGCTTAGGCAGATTTTATGGCTAATATTGAAAAAGCATAGGCACACAAAAACAAAAAAATAGACAAATGGAGCGATAATAAACTAAAAAGCTTCTGCACAGCAAAGGAAATAACCAACAAAGGGAAGATGGGGAAAACCTGTGGGATGGGAGAAAACATTTGCAAACATTTCTTTCGACCAGGGACTAATAGCTGGAATATACAGGAACTCAAACAACTCAGCAGCACAAAACACAAACATACAAAAAACCCAAATGATCTCACTAAAAAGTGAGCAGAGGATCAGAATAGACATTTCTCAAAAGAAGACATACATTGATGGCTAGCAGGTATATAAAGAAATGCTCAGCATCACTAATGATTAGGGAAATTAAAATCTCAATGAGACGTCATTCCAGTTAGAATGGCTATTATAAAAAAGACAAAAAGTAAAAAGACCCTTGTAAATATGTAGAGAAGAGGGAATTCTTATATGCTCTTGGTGGTAATGTAAATTAGCTCAGCTATCATGGAACACAATATGGCGGTTTCTCAAAAAACTAAAAATAAAACTACCACATGATCCAGAAATTCTACCACTGGGTATTTATCCAAAGAAAAAGAAATCAGTGTATCAAAAGGATATATATACACACTATGGAATACTATTGGACCATATAATAGAATGAAATCCTACAGCAGCAACATTGATGGAACCTGTGGTCATTATATTTCAGACTTCCCAAGTTGAGAAAAAAATGGCAGACTTTTTTCTTCCTCTAATGCAAAAGGTCTTAAAGAGACTGAAATCCTAGCAATCAATTAAGTGAAATAAGCCAGGCACAGAAGAAACAAATATTGCCTGTTCTCACTCATATGCAGAAGGTAAAACAGTGGATCTCCTGGAGGTAGAGAGTAGAATAATGGTTAACAGAGGCTGGAAGGGTGTTGGAGAAGAGGATAAAGAGATGTTGGTTAATTGGTTTAAGCACACAATTCAAAGGAATAAGTTCTAGTGTTTGATAGCACAGTGGGTAACTATAGTTAATGATAATATAGTGTATATTTTAAAACAACTAGAAGAGAAGGTATGAAATGTTCCCAAGACATAGAAATGATAAATGTTGTAGATTATGTATATGCTAAATACCCTGATTATTATACATTTATGCATGTATCAAAAGATCATTATGTACCCCATTGCACAAATGTGTAGCAAATTTTAAAAATAGCATTGTGCCACAAAAATGTGGTCTTTGGAACCAGAAAACCCTGATATTGAGTCTTTGCTCCACCAATGTTTGTTACTTGACTTTGTTAGTTATTGAACAGAGATCTCTAGTAGTCAGGGTCTTTGCCTGCTAAACAGCAATGCTAATATCTTTTTTCAAGGGTTGTGGTGAGGTTTAAAAGAAGCAATGAGTGTTTACATATAACTTACCTTGCTTGCAAAAAAAAAATTAAAGTGCTCTGTGAAAGTTAAGACACAATGCAAAATAAGTTAAAAATAAGTGAGTAAACTTAATTGAAGGGAAGACAAAGGTAGGAAAGTAGGATATACCCATGAAATAAAAGCTATAGAATCTAGTACATTACCTGATACATGGGGATCACTCTTTAGCACTGGTTCTCAACTAGAGGTCATTTTACTCCTGATGTTTGTAGACATTTGGGGTTGTCCTAATTGGGGCAAGGATGGGGAGTGTGCTACGGCACCTAGTTGGTAGAGGCGAGATATACAGCTCAGTACTCTACAGTGCACAGGACAGACCTCCACATGAAGAATTAACCAGCCCAAAATGTCAATAGTGCTGAGGCTAAGAAAGTCCTGTCTACAACCTGCTAACTCCATTATACACTTTCCTGGCACCAAATGAATGTTATATACTTTGGAAGAGGTAAAGAATTCTGAGGGTTGAAGTAATCCTGAAAGCTTCCAAAGAGGATCTGGAACTTGAGCTGAGCTTTGAAAAAGCAAGAGGCATAATAAAAGGCATGGGAGGCCAAGAGAGTGTGGGAAGGTAGAAGCAATGAGAGAAGATTAAGACACGTCCCTTCAATTTCAACGTGGCAGATTCACCCCATTCTGCAGTAATTCTCACCCGATAGAACCTACTGACATTGACTATAAAGGTATAAAATGTATTAAATACATAGTCATAATTTATAAGAATGGAATGTCTTAATGAACCAGAAATTGTGATAAACACTTATAAGAAAAAGCGAGGGGAGCAAATGGGAAGTTATTTTGAAAATTGAAGGCCCAAACATGTGGGAAAATTCTGCCATAGAGGATGAGATCATTTGACTCACCAAACATTTCATCCAAATAAGGATAAAAAGGAAAGAGGTAGATTGTGACATCTTTACTTAAATCATTGATTCCTTCATACCTGCTGGGTCATGAGCCCCTTTATGACAGATGAAGACTGTGGATCCTTTCCCCAGAAAAGTGTGCATACTCATCCTATATTTGCATAAATTCAGGCAGGCTCATGAAAATGTATAAGCCCCAGTACTGGCAGTAAACTTTTTTGTGTATGGGTGCCTCTTCCCCTAGCCAGTAGCTATTCCAAAATGCCGATACTATTGCTATTTAATATTTTCTTTCAATTATAGGCTGGGAAGAACCATTGGAAAACCTTGGCTGGTGAGATTCAGGGTGGCTGGACAGGTTAGATAACTCAGCTTTGAGCCATAATCTCACTCGAGGTCAGACCTTGTTGGGAAACTGAGCTCTTCATTTGTTCCCTGAGCCTGAGTGGCTTTCTCAGTTCCCAGACCTTTGTCTCAGTTTCTCTTAGGTTGAGATGTAGTCTTACTCATGCAATCATTGTCTCTAGAGACGAGACTCTGATCAACAAAATCCACGTGGGAACTATATTCCTTCTGCCAATGAAGAGACGTTTTTCTGATGCTCACTACCTGCCTTCAAGAATTGTACATTTTGTGTAGCACTTGGATTCCCCATCACTGTGCTCCTTCTATACCCAGGAGGAAACATTATCTTTCCCTGCCTCTCCTCTTGAACCCAACTGCTGCCTCCTTACATTAACTGTCCCCTGCAGCAGCTTCACCAAGTGGATGCTT